AGGTGGAGGAGGAGGAGGAGGAGGAGGAGGAGGAGGGAGAGGGCCCTCTGGGGAGGGACCTCTGCACCTCGACCCCTGCAGGCCTCCCGCCGACGACGGAGGGTCCAATCAGGGATGCTCTCGGGCGCCTCTGGTGCCCTGCCGTCGAGCCGCCCCGCATCAGGCATTTCGGCACGCCGCTGGATCGTGCAAGCGTGGAGGGGCGTCACCCCGCCAGCAGCCCCACATCGACCCCCGTCGCGGGCAGCCAACGAGCGCCGAAGGCGCTCCGACCCCCGTCGCAGCGCGACGACGAGGCGAGGTTGACCCCCGTCGGGGGGTACCCCCCACGCTTGTTAAGAATCCCAGAGTGCACAAATACAGTGGGGGCCTATGCCAAGAAACACCCTGCTTGCCTGCAGGGTGCCCTGGGTTTCTTGGGTTTCGATGTTCTTGGCACGGGGAACGTGACGCTCCCATACCAGAGGTCAATGCACGTCCTGGGGTCTCGGGGCTGGGCTTCTTGTGAAGGTTTCTTTTGGTCGGGCCCTTACTCTATACACGTCGTAACCAGGCACGCTGTATTCACAAAGATCTAGACGTGTACATATATGTTACGAATACGTCCCCAAAACAATGCTTGCCCTTTGGGAGTCTTACCTCCGTTGCTTGTGGTTTAATAACTCGATGGGCTCGCAGAGTTTTCGCCACGTTGCCGCCCTGTGTCGCCTCGTAGGACCCCCGTGGGCGCCCCGTTTTGGGTGGGTTCCGCCGAGATTCGGCTACGTTGCCGCCTCGTGGGCGCCGCATGGGCGCCCATGCGCTTGGTGGGCTCGTCGAGGTTTCGCCACGTTTCAGCGGACCTGTCCCTTGCATCTGTTAGTAGGCATGTTTTGAATCATGTATTGTGTGTGTGTTTTCTCGTCTTCGCGGGGGTCTGATCTGTCTGTTGGGCGGTGCCTGTCTTTGCGCCCCTGGCACTCGCCAAGGGCAGTTTCTGTTCGAGCCTGCCCCCCTCGACTCAGGAGGGGAAAAAACACAAAGAGACAATGAATCGTCGATTCCCAGGAAAATATTGGGAAGTGGGGGGGGAAGACGAAAATTCAAAAAATGTAGAGAAATGTAGGGGAATCCTGATATTTGTGTGTATTCATCTGTGTGTCCTTGGGCCCCTTCATCGACATTGCTCTACCCTCCCCGTCGCTCGACGTCCTCATCGGTTCTCCCGCAGGCCCTCCGGTTCTTTGGCTTTGCCCGCCCCCCAGCTTGCCCCCCCCCGTTTCCTGGGCGACCCGTAAGTCGGGCAAGTCCCTCAACAGAAGGAATATTCTAAAATAGTATGAAACATTGGGGACGGTTTTCATATTAGTTTTGATCATTATGTATTGATGTTTCTGGAGTGTTCTTGCTTGTTCCTCCAGAATCCGCCTGTAGGAGGACATGCCCGACCTAAGGCGACCCCCCAGCTCGCCCCCCCCCCCATTCACGGTCCCCCCACCAGGGGGTAGGGATGTTCCCAGCAAGGGCGTCTGCGCAGCGGCCGCCGCCCCGTGAAAGGCAATCCTCAAGGGCACTCTTGAGGGCCCGTGGAGGGAAACCGTCGGGACATTTTAGAAAACCGAACTCCTTAACGGGGCCTGCCCGGGACCCTTCAACGGGAGAGGCTCTCAGCTGCCTCGATGCGCTCGTTTTGAGACGCAACACGTGCCGTGCTGAAAACGCGTCTGTGTCAATGCTTGGCGTCTTGGCTCAGCGTATTGGGCCACGTTTTGGCGAACGTATCTTGTCAGACCTACGTGTTCAGTCTATGTGTTGAGCCCCGTATCAATACGTAGTGGAACAAAGAATGACACAAATTTGAAAACTCGGAGGTCCGCGCGGATTTCTCGGATCCGCGCTGGACCCTCCTGGCGGCACCTCCAGAGCCGCCCCTGGCGCGCTCCGCGCGCCAGCGGGGGGGGTCCAGCGGCGCGGACCTCCGAGTTGTCGTGTTCATGTCATTCTTCGTTCCCCTAATTCACCACCCACCAAACCACCCCAACCCAGCCCGAAGGCCTCAATTCGCCCTCCATTTCCAGTGGGGGGGGGGGGTCGGGGAACATTGAAAAAGCACACATGGAGCCCGTACCCCCCCAAACCCGAAATTCGGGTCAAATTCGGGTCTTCGGGTTGGGTTGGGGTGGTCTGGTAGGTAGTCACTCATACGCTGCGCGCCGCGTGCTGCGCATCGGGGCAGCTCGGGGGAGGCTTTTGGGGGGCCCGGCGAGGGGGGCGGGGCCGCGCTCCGCTCGCCAGGGCGACGGGGGCCTGGGGCCGGGAAGCGGGGGGCGGCTGGCCGCGGAGGGGGCGCGGGAGCGGGCCGGGGGCGAGGAGGGGTGGTCTTCCAGCCTCCGTCCCCCATTGTTTCGCTATTGTTTGATCTTTTCGGGGGCGGGAAAGAGGGGGCGATGACTACGGGGGGGGGATATCATGGTGGGGGCCATGATATCTCCCCAGATTTCATGGCGCCTCTCTTGTTTCATTACGTCCCTGGCCGCCCCGCTGGGCCGCGCACATGCCGCCGGTCATGATTTGCACCCCTCCCCTCTTGGACACCCCCCTCTTTGCCGCTCCCGAAGGATCTTGGGGTCATGGACGGAACCCGAAGGATTCATGGTGCTTCTCATGAGTACCGCCAGCATGTTCTGGCCACGCCCGAAACATGAAGTTCTTCTCGCGCGGGCAAACAAGTCTCTGCCTCCGTCCCCCATATCCTCGACTACACGAAGATATTGGCCCCTCGCTGGAGTGACCTTAAGTGCGGGCCCACTGGGGTCCCCCGATCGCCGAACGCGAGGCGAAAGTAGCGATTTGCGCGCCTGTGTTTGGTCCCCTCGCGGCTCCCAAAAAGCCGCGCGCCAGAGGTCGCTCTTACCCAGGGTCGCTCTTGCGTGCAGCCGAGTCCCCGATTCCATCCCGGGCGGTGCAACCCAGCACGACGTGACGGGAAAGCCGACGACGTGATGTAGCGGCTTCGAATTGGGAACCCAGAGAATCATCAGCCCAATGGCGAGATATACCTCTGGACCAAGCGATTGAAAAAAGGAGGAAAACACACACAAAAAAAAAAAACTCGCGCGGCGTCGGACCACAGGGTCCCGAGCACAGACACGTTGCCGCCTCGGGGGCGCCCCGTGGACGCCCCGTGCGCTGAGCCTGCAGGGCACGGAGATCACCGCACGGCTCACACCGCAGCGCCTGCACTGCACAGCTCAGGCGGCATGGCTCGCGTCATACAGCTTGC